ATATTTTCCATCATTTCCTGTGTTTTATCTCTCACATTGACATGACAACGTACCTATATGTATGTCAGTTAGAAAAAATTCAAATGTTACTCAGCGAAAGGAAAACTTACCATTCGTATAATTCTGTGATTCTAGATGTTGTAACTAGGCTTGAAGTCAGTGATTGTGTATTAACTGGTTTTACCTTTTCTTCGACTTCTGAGACACTCCGTTTTTCAAACCTTTTTGTAATAGTTTTTCGTAGCAAACGACCTTGTTCTCGTGTATCCTTTGTCGCGTCCAGAACATGTTGAGACTAAAATGGACTTTTCAGTTTGTAGATCGAAGTATAGTAAAGGCTTCAAAAATTATCATACAAATCTCTTCGAGATAAATCTCGTTCTCTAGTTTGTACTTTGCCAGATCCATCCAGTACTGTTCTACCGGAACTGAATTAGTTTGTTCCTATTTTAAGAAAAGTTTGACGAATAATAAAATATTTATCTATAAATATGTCTCATCAAAGGATAAAAATCCTGCACCAAAGGGACACACACGACACGGAGGTCTTAACTCCACAACACAGAGGTTAGGAGGTAGCGTGAAATCCACACCAGCACTGAGGCAATTCCCCCACTGACACAGAGGTCGAACAGATAGCTCCCTCGGCGACACAGAGGTCGAAAGAGGATGGGATAGGACGATGGTACAGGATAAAAAACTAACAAAGAAAAGGTAATGAAACTTTACCTCAAAAACGTTTAGACAAGCTTGCGCAAGCGTTCTTCTTTCCGGCTTGGTGGTATCGTCTTTAGCAATATAAATAAGTGTTCCTTTGTACACACTATATGCTTTTCTTTTTTCTGTTGGACGCTTGTGCTCCAGGAAGCCAAATAGCGAGCAGGAAGTTAAGTCATCGAAGTATGTGTCAACTTTAGACATGATTCGTGCTTTCTAGCAAAAGTTTAAAAACCTAATAAGTGATTCGGTTACACATCATGGGCATGTCGGTGCGATTTTTCACGTGATTCAATTATCCTACCGATAAATTTTCCTCATAATTACATAGTGTAACACGACAGTGAGATACACTATTAATATATAGCATGCATTTCAGAAAAAAATTTTCGATGTAAATGTCCGAGGTGGACGAACTTCGGATATATGACTTGTAATGGGTTTAAGGTTCGATTTTCGGAATAAATCTTTGGGGAAATTACGTCATTATGATTCATCACGAAAATCAGATCAACGGATGCTCCCTAAAATTATAATAGACACAGGGACTTTTTATTATTAATATGCAGGAAGTTTCGAGAATAAATTATATAGGCATTTATAGGATCAGATGAAAAACTGAGAAATATTAGCATATAAACACAATCCCACACTAGATATTGACATGTAATTAAAAAAATACATATTTTGTTCATACTGCGGAATAATATCTTTTGCTATTGATCTGCCATCACGTGGCTACGATCGCGAACTTGAATTTATTGCTTGAAGAGTTACAGCTAAGACACTTATCTTGAGATAATAACTTTGTTAATTTAGGATCATATGGAAGCTGATTCCCATTTCTACAGTAATGAGAAGATGACCTTCTGATAATTGCCATGGCTCATGCCCAGTTTCTTTTTTATATTTTTTGTATAAGCTGGAACGAATCTTATCCGTCAAAATGATTGGTAACCCAGTTAATTTGGCATGCCAAATCAGATACTCGGAGGTTAATACTTTATCGGATTTGCTCATATTGCCTTTTTATATAATTGCCAATCAATTTAAATTATAGTAGGTAATAGCCAACATAAATTAACCCTGTAAAAAAAATATCACAATGAAGCGTGAGCGAATAGATATTGTAAAATAATGACTATGCAGTTATTTCTATTTCGTGCTGTTCACATTTAATAAAATAGGATCCAGCTTTATATTGACCTTTTATACTTTCCTCATCATCATGGCCTAACTTGCATAATGGGCATAATGTCTTGTCAGTAATTCCATAATAATCAAAATTTTCACTACTAAATTCTCTAAATAAAATAGGATATTAATTCAATGTTTTGTTACGGAAATAGGTGCAATCATAAGTTAGACTATTGGGCTAAGAAATAGGTGATATCACCTCTACCTTGATATCAATTTTTTTCAGGGTAGATTCATTGGAAACTTGAGATTCAGTAGATGCATCCGAACTGGTGATATGTAATAAGTCAGAATTTTCTTATCACTTTGTGAATTCAGTTCACAAAGTTGTATCTTCATATGAATGCTATAATCAAAGAACATATTGTCTATAATATACTGGATGTCTTTATACGTCATTTTTGAGATAAAATCAGCGGAGAAGGAATGAATTTGATTTATTTTATCCATACCTATTGCATTAAAAAATGTATAGAGCTTCTTAGCCTGCTCAATTCTTTTCTATAAAAGTGCATCAGAAGTACCTGCAGAAAGCTGAGCTTTAACTTCTATATTTAGAATTCTACTGACTGTATTAGACTTTGGATCAACTTGTTTTTCAGATGTGATTTTACCTCGCCTCTGAATAAAAGCTTTTCCAAATTGACAGTAACAAAAGATAGCTTCTTGGGTCACATGATCAGCAAGGATTATGGCATCACAAAGTTTTTTATACAAAAGAGAAAAAGTTAGCATTCCTATTTTTACTGCTAAGGAATCACAGCTTCATATTGTTTTCTCTAGACAAACATCCAAAGAATTTGAGTCTAGCTCATCTATAAGATTGAAACAATTGATACTTGAATCTGATTCTCTTTGGGAAGATACTGAAGGTATCAAATCATTTAAGGTCACTTAGTGTCTACCCTTTTCAGACACTTCCTGAATGAATTTTTCCCTTTGTTTTTTCTGATTTTTCTTACGAAACATTCTTTTGTCAACTGATACCTACTTATCCTTTTTAGGTGAAACAGTTTTTACTTTCGTAAGCTTCTTCTTCTATTTTCTTTACCTAATTCTATTACTAACTCTTTTTTTATTCATCTCATCCAGGAAAGAGTCTATAGTCTTTTCCTTTATTAATTTTGAATTAGCAGGTACTGTTTCATTTGCTATTATGGAATCTAATATGTCAGCAGGTTTTTCAGAAGAGGAATCCTTTCATGAATGAGAATCTTCTTTCAACTTTACAACTCTAGCCTTAAGCTTAATATTTTTAGTATCATGCTTAACATTTTCAACATCACGTCTAGTATTCTTAACAGCAGTATCTATTTTAGTTTTTTCTAATTCCTCAATTCTATTCTTAAGCTTAGCCCTTAACTTTGTAATCTTATTCTTGATCTCATTATACTTGATCTTAATTTCAGTATTCTCAGCTATAAGTCTAGCATTTTTTTACCTAAGTAAGTCAATTTCAGATATCATTTTTAAAAATAATTTTATACACTGTATATTTATATTTAAAATAAAAAATTCATGTGATTCTACTTTGTGAACTTAGTTTACGAAGTTTTTTTCTTGGCAAAAGAATAATTTATTTATAAGAAAAAAATATTTATATTGATTTAAAATTTGCAGGTAGATAGAATAAGTGCAAAAAAATATATAATCATTGAACCCTCATTCCAAGATTATGAATGATCTAAAATAAAAATATTATAGTAATATTTAATAAAATGTTCATGCTAGAGCTAAGATATACTTTGGTCTTAAAATATTCATTCTAGAAAATGCATCATATAAGGTATCTAGTCTATACTTCACAGAAGCTAAATTTGAATGATGAAGAAATTTCATGAGTAAGTTATCCTTCTAAGCTTTCGTCTCTTCATGTTCTTAAATTATTTCTATTAATACAAACAAGTTATCACTAGAATAATTCTTTTGTATTAAATTCTAAAATAAAAATGTTTATTTTTTTCAAGGGTAAATAAACTCACTCCTCCTATGATGACGGATTTCACGCTAATAATAAATTTTTCACGAATATCTGCTCTTTTTGCTAAGATAAATAAGAACGTAATTAAAGCTAAGTAGTAAAAGTCAGCTAAAGGATCTAATTCGAATTCATCAACAGATATAGTTCTAATATCTTCTAAATAATCTGAAAGTCTATTAGTGCATTTATAACCTTCATAAATCAGCTTCTAGAATAGCTTACCATTAGTTTTGATCTAGTGCTCTGTTAAAAGGTTGAGTATTTTATTAGGAGTGACCGATTCTTGAATACTAATTCTCGAAATTAATATTATGAAACTAATAATAGTTGATTAGTACTTATGAAATGAATATATTTAATTACCTCTTTAACAAATTAATTTTAAACATCTTTAGCTTGATTTAAGCTGATTTCCTTCTACATACTTCTATTTATAGTATAAATATGCTCTTTTCTTACCTTGATCATATAGAACATAGAGCTAAATGCTTAATTTAATGCTCTAATTACATCCTTTATATGGTTGTGAAATTATTACACTCTTTCGTATTTTAAATGATAAAAGGTACAATATTGATCTCATGTCGAATTTTTACAGAAATGAGTCTTTCTAATTAATAATCAATTACAAGGCATTTTTTTATTATTCATACTCACTTTCTTATTTAAAATTAAAAAATCATATATGTGTTATTTTTCGTGATGCTAATTACTTTTGCTAAGAAAAAATTTTTATTATTATATATGAAAAATAAATACAAATGTTTAGGATATAGTCGTGATATATATTATTTTTTGATAAATTTTTTAATCCTAGCCCTCTGGGATTTTCTTTGACAGTTGACTTCATGAAATTAATTTGGTATTTACTTTTGATATTATTAGTTATAGTAATCAAAAAAAGGCAGAAGAAGTTGATAAAAATGTAAGAACTTATCTCTGAAAGTTTGAAGAATTTCACAGCCTCTTAAAAGATGATTCAGTTATGGTATTAGAAAAATATAATGAAATAGGGATAAAGAAAATTCAGTTTACTGGAGAGGAACTTCTATTATTTTCAAATCTCATTTCTCAACAATTATACAAAATTTTTGTAAAAAATTTAGCTAACGCAGACCAGTATCTATATTTAGAATAGATTAGCTAATCTATTTTTTTTTATTGCACAGGGTATAATCTAACAAAAAATTCTTCTGAACTGATCACTGATCCAGATTAGTTAGATTGATAGAGTATCAATATTCTACTTAATTGACTAGTATTCTATCATCAGCTCTCGATATTAAGGTGAAAATAATACCTCAAGTCAGAGGCTGACTAGTTATAGATATATTAGAATCAGGTTGCTAGAATACCTAAGATAGAACTGAATTTTAATTATTAGTATATTGACTAAGAAAATTACTAAATACGTTAATAAAATCAGAAGATGTTAAAGTTTTTACAAAATTCTCGAAATGGATATTTGGATTAAGTGAAACGAGCTGATCTATGATTTCTTTGCTAATATTTTCATATCCTTTCAAATTGAAATATTTTAAATTAAGATACGAACAAGCAATTTCTTTGGTAGTCATATTACTAATTTCACAAAATCTAAGACTAAGATGCTAGAGCTTTAGACAAGAATGAATAATATTACAAATCGATAGTTCAAGAATCTCTGTGTGGTATAAAATGTTTAGATATTCTAATTTATGGTGTCAACAGAGCAATTGACCAGTCATAATAAAGTCACGTGGATGATGCAGTATAACGATCTCTTAATTCAGAATTCTGAAAATACTGAGAATTCTGCAAATTCTGAAAATATGGAGGATCTACGTAATTCTAAAGATCTTCCAAATACTGATGATAATCCTAATTTTACGAATTAAGGTAAGTCTAAGAATATTTAGTGTTATGCTTATTTTTAATATTCTAAATTTTATTATTATTTTTATTATATTTTATATTTTTATTATTTTACGTATTTTTATTATTCTCAATATATTTATTTTACTTATATTTTATTTTACCAAATTAG